AAAGGCATTTTCCCATGGAAAGAATTGTTTAAAATTCTTTAAAATTAATTCCCAAATCTCGTTTCAAATTCATCTGGCCCCTTAGTCCAATTGTATCTTTTTAAAAGCAAAGTTTTAATCACCTGTTGCGGTTTAATATTTAACTTAATCTTTCATTAAGGCCTGAAGAAAACTCCCAGTGCTTGAAAATCTATCAATATTCCTAATAGCTGAAAAGCCACTAACAAGCAATTTCTGAAAGCGAATAGAAAAGGAAATAGGCAAACTTAGTATTGTTTCAAAGGTGCCAATCATGATTTGAACAAGATGGTTATTCACTGGTCTCTTGGAGCTCTAAACCCACTAGAGACTGCTATCTTGTGACCCTCCTGCAAGGAGCAGCTGCCTGGAGCACTTATGGGTGATCTTGTCCAGAGAGGAATTTTGCAGTCTACTTGCTGATTCTTTATTCCTCTGCAATTGTCAGCTCTGCTTTTTACAGAACTGTCTTCAATGTACCATTTTTTCCCTGGAAGTCCCATAAAATGATCAAATCCTAATAGTTGTCATGTCTTTCATTGGCCCTTACCATTAAGATTGTCATAATAAAAGAAATCATGCACTGGAGTTTAGCAATCTAACAGCAAAAATGCCACTAAGTGCTCATTAGATTCTAGATCGGGGTGTCAAACTCAATGCCCGCGGGCTGCATCTGGCCCGCAGGGTGCTTAAATCCGGCCCATGGGGCTGGCCTAGAAATATCAAGGGACTGGCCCACTGTTCCTCTTGTGGCTAAAACGGGCCATGTGCAGCCCCCTTGCAGCTCATTTTCACCCTCCAAGGCATCCTGCAGCACTCTGCCTGCCGACACTGGGCTCAAAACAGGCTGAAAAACAGGCCCAAAATGGACTCAAAACGGGCCAAAGCCAGGCTAAGAAACAGGGCCAAAGCCAGGCTAAGAAACAGGCCCAAAATAGGCCAAAAACAGCCCCCAAAATGGCCCACGTGGCCAGCAGGGTGCTGCCGGAGGTATCCGTCCCACCCACTCCTGCCCCCCCTGCCGCCCCCCCCCCCGCCGGCCCACAGAGGAGAACTGCAATGCTGATCTGGCCCTCGAAGAAATCCAGTTTGACACCCCTGCTCTAGATATTAGGAGCCTAGCAACTCTGCTAAGGATAGACATTATATGTGTTTATAATAGACAGTAAAGCAGATAATGAGACAGATTTTCAATTTGGAATCTATAAAACCTTGGGAAAGGAAATTTGGCAACCAGTATATGATATTAAAAGAGAAAATGGATATTTGAGTGAGAAAATGATTAAGTGTACCTCAAGCTGTGTGTGATCTAAGTCCTAAATTGCTTACATTTCAAAGTAAGTCAAAACTAGTTGGGTGCATGTTATCTTTAAAGGAGAAATCAGTCAACCAAAAATATTCCAGAAATTAGTGGCTTAGAGAAAGGAATATTTGTCTGAACCAGAGAATTGGAGGCTCACAGCAAGTGGTCTAACAGTAGCCAGGGAAAAAGCCCTGTCCTCCCTCTTCCGCCTCCTCCTCCTTTTATTTTTTTGCTGCTTTCTTTCATTTTTAATAAGTTTTCAGCAAAAAAAAGGGAGAATGGATTTGCTTAATGACCACATAATTCTGTTAATGACTGCATAACTCACAACCATCATAAAAGTGGTTGTAAAACTGAACCAGTTACATGGTAATCCACTTAATGACCTCAATGACTAGAATTTTTGGTTCAATTCTTGTTTAGTGAGAGCTACCTGTATTGTGAATTGAAAAATAAAATGTAGTTTTCTAGTCATTTGGTATGCAAAATCTGAGAGCTAATAGCAATAACATTTCTATCTTGTACAATTTAATAATGGTTGGGAGAATTGGGCAAGAGAATGACCAAATGTGGTATTTTTACAAATTCATCAAACACTTTCAATCAAAATGTTTAATTAATTATCATTACTAGTAGAGACATTACTATCTACCAATCTGAGGATACCTCATATGCACTTTAGACAGACTTGCTTAATATAATGCAAATTTAAGAATGTAGCACTATTATTACAGTCAGTTTTTGATGAATCGCCAGTATAGATTTAAAGAAAATTTTGTACTGTCAAGTGTTTTGAGTAGACTTGGGAAAATGTTTTAATATAATTGTTTTATATTGGAGAATACTAGATCAACACTGCAGAAATCCAGACAAGCATTAAATGACAGAAAATATAAAGGTATTCTACAAAAACCTCTAATCAAATTTCCACAGTCTGGATCTGATACTTTAACTCTACCAACCATGAACTGATTGCACTTGTCTTATTTGAAACCAGATTGCACTTATGACTAAATCTTCTACAAGTTATATACTATAAAGGCAGGTTTCCTATCAATAATCAAATTTCTGATTCTACATAGGATTACTGATTCTGATTTTGGTCTGGTAAGAAGCTTAGTAGTTTTGGCCAGAACAGATGCCGTGACAATTCTTAAATAGTACTGAAGTCATAATTTATAATAAACATTATCTACACAGTATATCATTTCCCCCCCTCTCCTAGGAATCCAGAGTTTTGGAGAGCTGTACTTGGCTTACATCATCTTTATCATCATCAGTATTACACTAGAGAGAGACAAGTCAAAGCAATTATAATTCATTCTCATTTCAAGAAGGAAACGTATGAAAATGATATTGCATTATTCAAATTACAAAAACCTATCACATTTAATGATTATATCCAACCTATCTGCTTACTTCCAAGTCCTCTTTTTCTAGGTAATGATACTCTATGTTATATAACAGGATGGGGAAGTGCACATGAGAAAGGTAATTTTTTTAATTTCCCTGTAAATTTAATGTTGAGTACAGTCATAAGTTCACTGAACTTGTAAAATCTTTCTATGTTACTTCCATTTGTTCCATTAAGTGGAAAAAAGCCTGTG